AATATGTATAACTTAAAAGCTAGTAACACTGGTCCCTCCCAGAGAAGGGAAAACTGGACAGTGGGGAACAACAGTGCAGTATTCCCTGCAGAGTCTTTATAAAAATCTTCTGACTTATGAACCTGGGGACCTATTACCTAAATATACATTTTGTGACTCATAAATGATGATGCAGGTAAAGGTTGTATAGTAATCAAATTACAAGTGATGATAAAAATAGAGTCCCCAAAAAGGGGAAAGAAGGGTAAAAGATTAAGTATTACTAAAGAATAGGTTACGTAAATGATGGTACATACTCAACTCTTTCACTGTTTTATCAAATCCAAGATATCATCTGGTGTAAGACACAACTTTATATACAACTAAGAAAGAAAACACGTTGGCAATTAAATTATCATCGGGGCTGGGGATATAGTTCAGCGGCACAGTGCCTGCCTGGAAGGCACAAGGTCCTCATTCTCAGTATTTAAAAAAAAAAAAAAAAAAAAACTAGTCTGGTCATGGTGTCACAAATATGTAATCCCAGCACTAGGGAGGCTGAAAACTAGAGGTGCAGTTGAAACACTACTGTGCCTTCTGCTATGAGTCTGAGCTGTGTAGTGAGACCCTGTACCAAATACATAAATGAAAAAAAAAAAAAAAACCACAAAACAAAAACCTAACATCAATGCTTTCTTTAAACTTCAATTTTATTTTAAATTTGTCCTCATTGAAAGAACTCTTTTAGGCTTTTATGGACATATTTGGAGTTTTTGTTGTTATTCTTGTTTTAAATCAAGAATCACTCATACATGCCAAAAAAAAAAAAAAAAAAAAGGAAAAATATATGAAATAAATGAACTGATTTGTTCAGATATTCCCAAAACTTCTTCACATGCAGAGCATCCGACTGTCACCAAGGTCTACACAGAAACACTACTGTGCCTTCTGGGAATGTAGCCCATCTTACTTCTCCACTGCTGTTTCTGGAGTTTGACAAATAACAATTCATCCTGCAAAATCCCAGGGATTTTGCATTCTTGGCAGGGATCCCAGCAAGGAGAAGGGGCCCAGCCACACCAACTGCAGCGCAGTGGTAGCTTCTCTCTGGGGTCTGTGAAGCATTTGGCTGTGTGGCCTGGGAAAAGGAAACTACTGACTTTCCTCCAACAAATATATATATATATATATATATATATATATATATATATATATGGTTTTATTTATTTGGTACAGAGTCTCACTACACAGCTTGGACTCATAGTGATCCTCCTGTCTCAGCCTCCTCAGTACTGGGATTACAGGCATGTGCTGCCACGCCCAGTTTCAGTGACTGGCATGGCACAAGGCTGGCAAAGCATGTGGTACGGGAGGTGGGGGACTCAAACCCAGGTCCTTGTGCTTGCCGGGCAGGCGCTTATACCCCTGAGCTATCTCCCCTCAACAACAAATATTTGTTCCAGTCATAAAACTTATTCTCTTTGTTACTGTGCCCATTCTATTCATTCCGTTTCTTTTTTTCCTTTCCTCCCTTTTTTATTTCGTACTGAAGATTGACATTAGGGCCTCTGCACTGAGCCACATCCTTAGCGCTCCCTAAGCCACTAACTTGCCTAGTGACTGGCTGGGCTTCAGGTCTACCTTTCTGTCTCAGCTTCTCACAGCACTGGAATTATGGGTGTGTACACTGTATTTTATACTAACATAGGCCTTTTTATATTCCCTTTTGATTGCTCTGCCTCATCGTCCTGACTGAGACTGCAGATGTGCACCACTGCTCCAGTTAAAGATATCTTTAAAGCAATTAAACTGGGGCTGGGGAGATAGCTCAGTAGAGTAAGTGTTTGCCTGGCAAGCACAAGGTCCTGAGTTCAATCCCCGATACCACAAAAAATAAACAAATAAAATAAAGCAATTACACTTAAGTGCATATGTTGGTATCAACAATGCACTTACCTCCACTGAACTGTCATTTTGGTCCTGGAAGTGGGTCTGTTGCTGTGCCTATACAACCAGTTTTGATTAAACAGGAGGTTTATGGGAAGAGTCTGGAAAGGTTTGGAGCTGCTTGCTGGAGGTCTACAATACTATACTCCAGCAAGTTGATGGGGGATTTTGGCCAGAACTCAGAATAACATAATACTGATAAAAAGGTAGACAGTAAAGCCCAGGCTCAGGAGATTCCAGGTGGGAAGAAGGACTCTCCTGGCAGTTGAGCTCCAGGCCACATGTTATACCCTGGAAGAAAATTTCCCCACGCTTTATCTATGTCTTGAGCCTTTGTGGGAGAGTCAGATTAAGGGCAGTAGATTAATTTATCTAGCAGAGGAAATTTCAAAGGAGCCCAAAATTCAGGCTGTCACATAGGTACTGTTGTGAGCTTTTAGCCAGCTCTACACTGACTAACAAGCAAATGACAAAAAGCCGGGCAGGGTGGCACATGCTTGTGATCCCAGCACTTGGGAGGCTGAGGCAAGCAGACAAGTTTGAAACCAGCCTGGGCTACATAAGTGAGTTCAAAGCCAACCTGTACTACCTAGCAAGAGCCTGTCTTGAAAAAATGAAGGAGGGCCAGGGAGATGGCTCAGTAGAATAAGCACTTCCCTGGCAGCACGAGGGCCTGAGTTCAAGCCTCAGTTTCGCAAAAAAAAAAGGAGAAGGGGAAGGGGAAGAAAGGAAAGAAAGGGAAGAGGAGGAAGAAATGAGAGGAGGAAGAGGAAGAAGGGGAGGAGGAGAAAGAGGAAGAAGAGGAGGAGGAGGAAGAGGAGGAAGAGGAGGAGGAGGAGGAAGAGGAGAAGGAGGAGGAGGAGAAGATAAAACACAAATAACCAAATCAAGATGTTAACTAGGAATGCAGTTCAGTGATTCAGCCCTGGGGTCGCTTAAAAATTAAAAAAAAAAAGGTCATGCTCTTAGTCTGTAATTCCACCTCTGGCAATCAAACCTAATAATATGAAGTAATAAAATGGCTAAATTGGACAAGTGCTTGTAGTCCCAACTACTCAGGAGGCTGAGGCAGAAGAATCCCTCGAGTCCAGGAGTTGGAGGGCAGCTTGGGTAACAGCAAGAACCTGGCTCAAAACACAAAGTCCCTGAAACAAACAAAGCTCACTTCACAGTGGTGCTCATCACAGTTTAATGAAAAATGCCTAATAAAAGTGAGAGTTAACTCACATAGTTGACTAAGTGCTAAGCACGCATCATCTAACAAAGATAACGCTATCAAGACATAGTACAGGGAGATCAGGAAAGATTCAATGCTTCGTTGACGTTCCCTTGCAAGTGATTCTGTATTCTTTTTTTTTTTTTTTTTGCAGAACCGGGGATTGAACTCAGACCTCTGATTTTGTATTCTCTATGCCTGCAATTTAGGTTTATCTGACACCCTCACCCTTGTTTTTTACCCACTCCAAACTACTTCGCATCGACTTGTGGGAAGTTAAAAATTACGATTATGAAGACTATTTCACAGCACGGAAAGTGCTTATATTTAAAGCTATGTGGAAAAAAATAAAGCTATGTGAAAACGTGGCACAAAATACAGCACCAAGAATACTTTCTTAAAGTACAGGAAAAAGTCTGGAAGTAAATGGGCTAAAAGATGAACAAATGGTGAGAAGACGGAACTGAAAATACCATTTTCAGCTGTGCAGTCTCCAAATCCCACTTTAACGACCTGAACTCCCACCAGGCCTGTTACCACGGGATTAGAACCCTGCTACTCCAACGCCCCACCGCCTTCCCCCGAGCCCCACAGCAGCCTCGGACCTCTCCCCGGCGGAGCTCTGCCCGCGCTCTGGTCAGGCGGCGGGCGCGCACGTGACCCCGCCGCGCGACTCCGCCCACGTAAGTAGGACCCGCCCCGCGCACGAGCCGCTCCCTTAAAAGGTTGCGCCCGCGGCGGATCCACCTGCCTCGCCCGCAGGTGTTCGCACGCCCCGCTGTGCCTCGCCCGCAGGTCCTCCATGCCTAAGGCGCCTTTCCGCACCTCGACTCCTGAGAGGTCCGAGGAGTCGAAGGGTGGGACGGCCCCTTACCTTCTGGATCCGCTTCAGCGCCATCCTCCGCGCTTCTCCGGACCTCGCGGCCCGGAGGGGCTGCCCGCGGCGGCCCGCTGCCGGCTCGGCCGCCGCGCTGCACGCCGGGAGCTACCCTCTGCGCGTGCGCGCCGCGGGGTACTGTGGGGCGGTCAGGCCAGCTCCGCGGCCGCGGAGGTCAGCCAGGGCCGGGCACAGGGACTGGACGGGTTTCTGCAGGCCGTCACCCGCTATGCTCCCAGTCCCCGTGCGGGCTCCTCCCCAGGCTGTCACGTAACTCCTGAGGGTAGTGGTTCCCGGCCCTGTGAGTATACGTACGCTTTTATTTGTGCATTACTGTCGGAAGGTTGCAGTTTTTCTGAGCAGATGTACATAGTAAGCGCCCTGCTAAGTGCAGGGACCAGGAGAACGGCGCCTTCGGAACTGCGGCTGGAAACTGCAGAAATGGCAGCAGTTATTTCTCCCTGTCTTTTCCCCAAGCCCTGGGCGTTGTCTAAGTCAGTTTTCAAACCGTGATTATGAATCAGCGTGTCACAACATCAGTGTAACGGATGGCAAGTAACATATTATGAAGTGAAATAGAGTACAGTGTCAGTGTATCTCACATAGTAATGACAAGAGTGGTGAAGGTTCCACCGAGGTGAGACACTTAGAAGCATAAAAGGGGATGCTGCTTCAATTTCTTTAGGGTCAGAGATGTAATCAGAGGTTGTCGCTGCCCCGTGAGGATTAAAGTCCTAGGTTTCCATTCTGTCAGGCCCTCAGTCTGACCTCCATACAACTTGATGAACTATACTTTAAAAATGTAGATTTTCACCAGGCTGCACCCTTTTTCCAGAAGTCTTAAAAAAAGCCCAGTGGCCTATGACGCTATGTTCAGAGTCATCCAGGGCCCTTCAGGGTCTAGTACTCTCCAGCTTTACCTCCTCTGTAAACCTCTAGCTTACCTGATTCTAAAGGATTTCTAATAGTTCTCCTTTTTTCATTCCTTCGCTCTTGGCTGCCTGCTCCCCCATCTTGGTGCCCTCACCCCCAAAGAACCTCCCAAAGCTAGCTCAAGCACTGGACGATAAAGCACCTTCCCTTGGTTGTCACATCTACAGTACAAATTCCCAGCCAGGTGAAGCATCACATGCTTGTTATCCCAGCTACTCAGAGGACTTGGGCAACACAGACCCTGGCTCAGAACACAAAGATAGCAACAAAAATCCCTGTTAGTCCATGTGCCATTCCTCCACACATTGTTTAATGGCTCTCTTCTCATGGGACAAGTGATCAGAAAGTTTTAAAAATGTTCATATATTTGTATAAGAATATAAACCTCAGCTAGTTGTGGTGGTGCATACCTGTAATCCTGGCTCCTTGGGAAGCTGGGATGGGAAGATAGCTCCAGCCTATCCCTTGGCAATATAGCAAGACTGTCCCCCCCCCAAAAAAAAAAAAAAAAAAAGTAAGGGGCCGGGGAGATAGCTCAGTGGAATAAGCGCTTGCCTGGCAAGTGCAAGGGCCTGAGTTCAATCCCCGGTTCCGGAAAAAAAAAAGTTGGAACCTTTTGCATATTTTGGTGGGAAGGTAAAATGAAGTCATTTTTGGAAAATGGTTTGTTAGTTCCTCAGAAAGCTAAACATGGAGTTATTGTATGACTCAGCAATCACATTCTTAAGTATAAAGAGATTAAAATACATCCATACAGAAACTTGACCACAAATATTTATAGCAGCATTATTCATAGTAGTCAAAAGGTTACAACAATCCAAATGTCAAGCGAATAAACAAAGAGTGATATACCACACAGTGGTGTATTGGTCAGAATAATGTACTGCTGTGTGCCACGACAGGGTTGTATTAGAAGACAAAGGCAAAGAAGGCCTTTCTTCCTCTGGTATGTCAGACTATAAAATGGAAAGTGTAAGATCCAGAATCTCCTAACCTAATACACAAATTGTCCATGATACACTGAAAATCATTCATTTTAAGGATTTCTATCTCAACTTGAATAACAGGATAACCAATAGACCTCAAGTTGCTCTAACAAAATACCACAGGTACTTAAACAACAGAAATTAACTGTTTCACATCTCTGGAGACCAGAAGTCCAACATAAAGATATTGGCAGAATTAATTGGTTCCTTCTGAGGACTGTGAAGGATTTTTTCCTTGCCTCTCTCCTACCTCCCTGTAGCCTTAGGCATTTTTTGACTTGTAAATGGTGTGCTCCTTGTGTTTCATATTGTCTTTCCTCTATGCAAGTCTGTCTCCTTGTGTAAATTTCCCCTTTTGTAAAGATACAATTATAACTCTGGGTGTAGGTCGGTGGCGGAACTCTTCCTTGCCTAGCAGGTTTGATTCCCCGGGTTTAGTCTCCAGCTCTGCTAAATAAATAAGTAAAACAAAAATCTCTAAAAGCTCAATGCTGTGTCCAGGAACAAAGGCAAAATGTGTATTTCTTACTGCATCAAACTGGGTGAAAGAAACCAGTCAGCAAAGGCCAAATGTTGTATGATTGCATTCATCTGAAATGCCTAGGTGGCTGTATAAAAATAAAAAACAGATTGATAGTTACTGGGGCTGAGGGAGGGAGGAAATTCCTAATGAGTAGATTATATGTCTGTAAAGCTGTTTAAAATGTAGCAAAAATAAACAGCTCTTTTATTATTTATTTTTTGAGGCAGCGTCTCACTACGTCTCACTACGCGATTTGGGCTGGCCCTGTGCTCACTTTTTTTTTTTTTTTTTTAAAAAACATTTATTTATTTTGTGTGTGTGTGGCCAGCTCAGCCCACCAGGGGGCGGGGCTGGCTGGCATGTGGTGCTGGGGGATTGAACCGCAGTCCCTGTGCTTTGCCAAGCTTGTTCCAAGTAGGTGCTTTAGACCACTGAGCCATCTCGCTAGCCCTATGCTCACTTCTATAACTGCTAAGTCTCCAACTCTCTGTCTCAGCCTCCCTCCTGAGGGCTGGGATTACAGGTGTGTGTCACCACGCCCAGTTCAAACAGAGCTCTTTGATACCCTTCCATTCAGTTTTCCCTACTGGTTACAGTTTTATCTAGCACTGTGGTTTAATCAAGAAAATTAACTTGTATATGATATTATTAGCTGATCTAAAGGTATTATCTGGATTTTTCCAGTTATCTGACTAATTTCTTTTTCTGATACAGAATCAATTTTAGCATCTTATTTTGTTTACATTTATCTTGTTAGTTTAGCCTTTATCATCTGTGATGTATTTCTGTTTTTGTACTTCTGATTGTAATCCAGTGTCACAGGTCTATTTTTTTTTTTTTTTTTTTTTTTTTTTTGAGACAGGATCTTGCTATGTGGTTCAGGCTGGCTTTGAACTCACTATGTAGCTCAGACTGGCCTCCAAGTCTCAGGAATTCTCTTGCCTCTGCCTCCTCAGTGCTGGGATTACTGGCATGCGCCAGCCCACACAGGTCTAATTTACCCTTCCTTCTCTGCTTGTTTATAATAACACTTTTTGTTCAACAGTAAAAATTCTTTTTTTTTTTTAATCCTCAGCTTTTTGTTTTCTAATTTATTTAGTTCTGGCTTTTTTTAAAAAATATTTATTTATGTTTTTCCATAAATTTATTGAGAAACAAATAGCAGTGAGACAGTTTCAAACCAAACTGGTAGGACAGTTTCAATAATTAACACATTGTATACAGTTCTGTCTTTTTGAGGCAGGGTCTCACTGTGTAGTCCACGCTAGCCTTGAATTCCCTATATAGTCCGGGCGCCTCAGTGCCTTAGTTACTGTTTATTTGTTGCTGGGACAAATACCCGACACTCAAAATGAAGGAAGGAAAGGTTTATTTAGCTCACAGTTCCTTGAGGGTTCAGTCCATATTCCCCTGGCTCCAAGGCAAGCAACAGCAGTTCAGGCGGCAGAAAACCTGAAGAGGGGCCAGGGAGATGGCTTAGTGGAATAAGTGCTTCCTTGGCAAGCGCAAGGGCCCGAGTTCAATCCCTGGTTCCGCAAAAAAAAAACAATGAAGAGCAGAGGAGGAGCAGCAGCAGCGGCATCCATCAAGCCTTTCTCTTCCTTCTACGCTGACTGCCAAGACGGGCGCTCTATGGTGAAGATCGTGGGCACGAAGACTGAGACTTCTCCACGGAAGTGGGGCAGGAAACCAGGCAGGGGGCAGGAAGCCTTTCTCAATTCCTGGGCGCTGCCCACCTGCAGGGCTAGGCCCCCACCCTGAGGTCTGCAGAAGCTGATTCAGCCAAGTTGACACAAGTTATCAACTAACACTCAGTCTTCCCGGTGCTGGGCTCACAGGCATACACCCTGTGCCCTCTGAGTAAATCTTAAGATGCATGAGTGCTGGATTGTATTTCTGAACGTCTCCATTCCTTGTCTCCCCCTTGGTGAGGATGATAGAGGGGGAAAAATGCAACTCCCAGCCTGCTAGATGTCAGAGACATGGAGTTTATTTTCCCCAAAGTTGAGGAATGAGTTGTGAGGAAAATCTATTGAGGAATAAGAATGGAGAATAGGAATAGCTTCTGAGAAACAGGAGGGGTTCCAAATATGTTGCCCTCAATGGTAAGAATTCCAGCTCTCACTAGTAACAGTGTATTTATCTGCTCAATCCTAATATCAAGTCTCCACATTCATGGATTCTACATCCATAAATTCAACCACAGTATGAAAATATTAGAGGAAAAACTTCTTGCCATTATTTCCAAATGATACAACGTAACAGCTATTTACATCATATTAGGTATTTTGATTTAGAGAGGATTTTAAGTATACAAAGATAGATGTGCATAGGTTGCATGCAAATGTGCTGCCTTATAGACATGTCTCATTTACTCCTCTTGTGTTGCGGGGACAAATACCTAAGACCCGCGATGAAGGAGGGGAAGGTTTATTTAGCTCACAGTTACTGGAGGTTTCAGTCCATACTTGGCTGGCAGCAGCACATGCCAGAGAGCAACCTTTCAGGGTGGCAGCAGAGAGCAAAGAGAGTGGCGGCAGGTAGGGCACCTAGCTAGCCTCTCTCCCCTCCTCGCATTGTAATGCAAATTGCCTGCCCCAGGGCAGGTGCAGCATCCACATCCACAATAATCAATCACAAACTCCAGAAGGTGCTCC